TTATTCTTATGTTTTTCATCTACTATTTTTCTTCTTCAACAAGGTTCTATTTATAGGCATATCACCCTTACATGCAACTTTAACACATGGCGGAGCCGTTGGGACAAATGGCAATTACGAAGACACATGTTGCGACTAGAACGACACTTGTTGCGACTCGGATGACAAGTGTGGAGGAATTCAACAAGTGGAGAAAGTGTTGAGACAAGTGTTATATTTGAAGGATTAGTGTCCATTTGTAGACAAATGTTGATGGAGAATCACACATAATTTATAATAATTTTAGAATTTTGAAGACGTACTATAGTATTTTAATTTTTAAAATACGCAAATTGTTAATGGCCTATAACATAGTGACTTGTGCATTGTAGTATAGTGTCGGGTGTATCACCATTCGCTATTATTTAGACCAATATTGTTGTTGACAAAAAAATGTGTTAGTGTTAAAAACCAAAAGCTATTATTTAGACCAATATTGTTTTTTTTATTGTAAACACATGAAAAATTGGACATATTTTTAATGATTTTCCCCATTTTGAAAGTTATTTTTTATTTGTAAATTTTGTTAAAATATGTAAGAACTTTTTAAAAAAAAAACTAAATTAAGAGTTTAAATATACAGAAAATTTGAATAGCTTACAATCTTATATAATAAGAAATGGTTATTTAGTGAGCAATATAAATACACTTCTCCAAAATTATCTAAAAAGAATTTAATATCTAATTTTTCATCCAATGTAGAAGTTTGTGCAAACTATTTTAAATACTAGAAAGAAAACAATTTTTTGAGAGTCAGACACCAAAATCTAATAACTTGTAAAGGCCTAAGAAAAAAGCAAGCAACATTTAAGTATGAATGTTTTGAAGAAGAAGAAGAGTATGAAAAAGCCACAAACTTAAGGTAGACTTGCCCAAATTACAAGCTAAAGGAAATCATTTATTTGAACTAACATTTAAGATTGTAAGTCTTAGTATATACATATGCATTACTTTACTTCAATCAAAACATTATTTATTAGATGACCTATTTATTTTCTTTGCGTCAAAATATGAAAAACCATATACACAACAAATGGGATTCGATATTTTGAAAAAAAAATAATTCACATTAACATTTTCTTCAAATTCAATTCCTTTTTTTCAACCACACATTAATTAAATGTCCATAACATGATTTGTAGCCAAATCAGAAAGAAAAATATATACAAATGCAATATCAGAAAATGACAATCTAGAGCATCGAGGTAGACAATCCACTTTAAATTATAAGAACGTGAAATATGAGATAGCGAGAAAAAGGGAAAGAAAACTCGAAGCAAACCAATCTCATCTAGTAGATTTGAGAAAGCATGACACTCTTCAGGAGATTGCACCATCAAAATCAACTTTGTACAATATGTTTCAAACACTTGGCAATCAATCCTTCTTGAGAGGAGATTCTTCATAGCCCATGTTAAAGCTTCCATCTCCGAGTGTAGAGGGGAGGGGATCCTTCAAAGACATTTGGCACAAAGTAGAATTGTACGGTTGTCTCTTTGACATCACCACCATCCTAGGCCTGCGTGAGGATCCGATTATTTCCATGAATTATCAATCTGACACCTTAATTTATGTGACGAGGTATCCAAGGATTCCATATTTCCCATTGTCTCAACCAGATTTGATTGAGCATCTTCCCACAAAACTTGTTCATGTAAAGCGAGATTTAGAATATCTATGGGTTCAACTTGTATTCCTTCAAAGATCTTTTTATTCATATCTTTCCACAAGAACCATAAAATCCATGGGAAACAGTGTTGTTTTTCTCGTTCATCTAAAAATATTGCTACTCTCCAAAATAATAAATCTAAATTGGAATACACTGAAGTTAAGGGAAAAATCCATGGAATTATCGGAATAGAAGAAATTCTCATATTTGCTGATTCACATCTTTTGGTTGTAACACTCTGATTTCATGAATATGGTGGTGCATCAGAGAGGTTTAAAAGAATTGATTTGGTCACCTATGTCACCAAAGTGCACTTATCTTTTCGGTAAACTGTCCTAAGAGAACTCCACAATTAAGCGCGCTTGAGCTAGAACAATTTCAGGATTGGTGACCTTTTGGGAAGTGATTGTCGGAACCGTGTTAGTGAGGCCAAAACACAAGGAAAGATCATTTGGTGATTTGTAGGACGGTAAACAAGTCTTTAAAGCTGCCTGGATGTAGCGGACCGACTGTCGGACATGAGTGGGCCCATAGACAGATGGGTGCTCACTAGTAGAAGCGGTCGGGGCGTTACAAGTGGTATCATACTCGAACCCAGGCGAGTATGGAGTCAAGAGGGCTCACACCGTCGGGGGTGACGGTCTTGGTGCGCAACGAGGAAGTTGTGATCTGTTAGTAAGGGTGAATTGTAACACCCTGGTTTCAGGAATATGGTGGTGCATGCGGAGAGGTTTAAAAGAATTGATTGGGCAACATATGTCACCAAAATGCACTTATCTTTTCGGTCAATTATCCTGAAAGAACTTCACAGTTACACATGCTTGAGCTGGAACAATTTTATGATTGATGACTTTTCGCGAAGTGATTATCGGAACCGTGTGCGTGAAGACAAAACATGTGGAAAGATCATGTGGTGATTTATAGGGTCGGTGAAACAAGTCTTTAAATCTTCCCAAACGTAACGGAACGACCGTCAGACAAGGTTTGATCCACGGACCCTAGAGAGAACGTGGATGCTCACTAGTAGAAACGGTCGAGGCGTTACATATTTATTTTAAGGGGTATCAAATTTTCAAAACTTCTTGTAGTCTAGTGGTATTCAACTATTTATTACGTTTACAGGTTGATGGTGACGAGTTTAAACTTTGGTTACCGAAAATTTTAACAATTTTGTATTTTTATTGTTGTAAATGAACATCAAATTTTTTTGGATTTTAGGAATCATAAAACTTTGGACCGGCCTTGGGTTAGACTAATTGTTCCGATCATTTCAAACCGGAGTCAAGGATTCAACAATGATGTTCGTTACTTTCAAGGAGAAGATGAGAATATCTCCCCAAGCTAGAACCATAGTGCGCTTACCACACGATTACAGTACCCCGTTCCATCGTTCAACTAAATCTGGTGTTTTTATTCAGTCTCAACTCGACTAGATGGATTATATTCTATGTTAAACGAGTCTAACTAAGCTGTCCGATCCAATTTTCTAAACATTGGCCCAAACTGGGATAGTAGCTTGATGCAAATTCTTAGGAGGTAGCTAATTAGTAATTACAATGATTGGTGCGGCTTAACTGGAATTGATATCAAAATTATGACTTAATTTCCATTTTTATATCTCCCTCTTATCATAATATCTCAACTTCCCATATAGATATATCATTTCAAGCAACTCAGCTTTAACTCCCAGACATAAAATCTGGTGTAAAACACGAGATATAATTACGCATTCAATACAGCTATATTAATGCAAGAAAAAAAGTCAGATTCTTTGTGTTCTTTACTATTTAGCGATTTATACATTTTTTAGATGGCATAATGTTTTTCCAACATCATCGTTCTGAAAAATTAGTTTTTTTTTTAATCTTTTTCTTTTCAACTTAAGAGATAGATTAGATGTTCAAATGATTTTATTGAATTTTCTATTCTTTTGTAATTCATATATGGAGAAAACTTCGAAAACCATTGCACAACAATATCATGTAGAAAACATGAAAACCACTCTAGCAATTTTATGTTGAAAAACTTCATCTAGTTGATGTGTGTTTTGGCAAAAGTAATCGATTCGTGAGAGTCTACGGAAAACAAGAAAAATAGTCGAATATAATCTCTTTATTGACCAAAGTATCGATTGCAAAGTACAAGAATCAAGGCACAACGAATCAATCTATAAACCCTAGTCGTGTTATAGAGTTGAGTCGTGTGTCTCGCCGTTTTTCGCAGTCTCTTGTGTTTGCTCTCGATTTCGTGTCTTCTTTCGTCGAATGAGACTCTCCTTTTATAGAGAAGTCTTGGCGATCCTAATCCTCGTGGGATTTGGATTTGAGCAACCGCCCTTCACGTGATAAAGTCATATCCGATATTCTCTCGTTAAGATCACATCAAATATTCTCTTGATAGGATCCGTGATTCTTGAGAGGATAAAGTTATTCACAAGATTAGGTTATGGCCCGTATTGACCCGGTTTCGGTGGACTACGGCCCATATTGTCATGATTCTCACCGATCGCGGCACGTGTCGGTCTTTCATAGAATCTTCTAGAATACTATCGATTATTTTCTCCATTTACATAAATCAACAGATTTATGATAGAATTTATGTCTTATAATTTCGATGGTTAAAATTATACCCAAAAATGTGTATTTTACATGGTTAGAAAAAAACACTCCTAAAATAAAATAAAAATTATTCGAAAATATTTAATATTTTTGGGACACAGAAATGCATGGTAAATGTTAATTATTTATATAAATAAAACAAAATATTTACTTTATCAATTTTTATGGTAATTACTACTAAAAATGTTTACTAAAATTTTAACCAAATTTTGAAACTGATAAGTTGTATTATATTATTTTGGAGAGTGCCTCTAATAAATCATTCTAATATCTCTACCTCACACCACCAAATCATCCATTACGACCCTTTACAAATGATATAACAAATTTCAAGAATTAAATCCACCGTAAACTTTTTCTTGAACGCAAAATTTCCTAAAACTTAATAGTCAATGAAAAATTACAAAAAAATCTAATTAATTTTGAAATTACTTTTAATTTAGTCAAATACTCTTAAAACTAAGGACACAAATCATTTTTTATATTTTAGAATTAAATACTTATGTTTTAAAGGTAAAAGATATGATTTAGTTTGATTGTTTAGCTTTTATGGAATTTGTAGGATTTGACATTAAAAATTAAGAATAAAGGGTCTATAATTTAACTCGTTTTCATTAATTTATATAAAACCCAAAACTAAACTATTCTTCTAGTCCTCACAAAACAAAATAGTAAAAAAAGAAGAAGCACATGCGGTTTCCTTTGCTTCTTCCTCCTACAAGTTGGATGTCTCCGTCTCCCACGGAGCTTATAAATTAGTGAAATAACAAAGCTTTGGTCTGTTTTATTATCATCATGCATTTCTAATCTCTTCTTCTTCAATTTCTATGCTTCTCTCTCTTCCAATTACATAATCTCTGGTCCATAGAAAACCGGAGAAAACATCGGTCTCTTGTGACCGTTGATTCCTTTCCATTCACTTCTTCTGGTCTAAAAAAATTCAAGATCTAAACGAGAAGAAAAAAAACAAGTAAAAACTTTTTCAACCGTTTTTCCTGTCGGTAACGTTTGGATTTTTATTGTAAATTTTGGTCTTTTGTCAAGAAGAAGAAGAAGATGGTCGTTAAGAATGTTCAAGACTTGGATGTTCTTCCGAGAAATAGCTCCGATTTATTCGATGACGATGGTCGTCCCAAGCGAACCGGTAATTTCTCTTTCTTCTCTGTTTTTTTTAATAGAGCTAATGTTTTCTTGAAAACAATTTCTTCGCAAACATATAACTTTCTTTTTCTTTTTTTTTGGTAACCGAGGATTACCCGAAACCCGGAATTAGTTTCGGGTTTCGGGATTCCTACCAAAACCCGGAGTCTGTTGATCTTGCAATTTAAAACATCTACAATAACCTAAGTAGTAAGTAGCACTGAAACGGGTACGGGAACGGGAAACGGGTACTGTCAACTAGCCATAAAAATCTGCAAACTTTATTTCGACTTTGCTACTTTTAATGAACTCTTATGAATATATGCATAGCCTTTGTTTGTTAAAGGTGACAAATTTCAACTTTTTAATAAATTTTGTGGATGTTAGCCAAATTCTGCATTGGAATTATGAAAAACATGTTTTTTTTTGTTACTGAATTGTATGGACAAGAACAAAAGAAACATGATTGTGTGCAAAATAAATCAGACCCATTAAAGTTTTGACTTGGTTTTTTTTATTACAGTTTTTGTCTTAAAAATTCTGTTTGAATGTGATTGGATTTTAGGGACGGTGTGGACAGCAAGTGCACACATAATAACAGCAGTAATTGGGTCAGGAGTGTTGTCATTGGCATGGGCCGTTGCTCAGATTGGTTGGGTTGGTGGTCCAGTGACTATGTTACTCTTTTCTTTCGTTACTTATTACACATCTACCCTCCTCTGTTCTTGTTACCGCTCTGGTGACTCTGTTTCCGGCAAAAGAAACTACACTTACATGGACGCTATTCACGCTAACCTCGGTAAGAAAAGAATTCATTTCGGTTATCTTTTTGGTTTAGAATCAGTAAAAATTGAATCTTGATTACTTCTTGATTCATTTTTAGGTGGGATTAAGGTGAAAGTATGTGGAGTTGTGCAATATCTTAATCTCTTTGGTACTGCAATTGGATACACTATTGCATCAGCTATAAGTTTGGTGTAAGTTAAAACTTTGTTTTCACAATTTTTAATTGTTCACATTTGTCCAAAAAAGTTAGATGCGTGTCTCATTTTGCTATTCAATATTGTCCATACAAGTCATTTAAGTTTTGGCTCAATAATGCAGTGTCAAAGTCATTGTAGTCTTATTAAAGAATCGTCAAGATTCGAAAGAACGGCTCTATTATTGTTTGACTTGTAATTAATTATGATTGAATAAAATAACAGAGCAATCCAAAGGACAAGTTGCCAACAGATGAATGGAGGAAATCATCCTTGTCATGTGAATGGAAATGTTTACATGATTGCATTCGGTGTTGTACAAATCATATTTTCTCAGATTCCGGATTTTGATCAGTTATGGTGGCTTTCCATTGTCGCTGCGGTCATGTCTTTTGGTTATTCTACCATTGGGCTTGGTCTTGGTGTCTCTAAAGTGGTAGAGAACAAAGAAATTAAAGGTAGTCTCACTGGAGTCACTGTTGGGACAGTGACACCGAGTGGGACAGTGACACCGACGCAGAAAATTTGGAGAACATTTCAGTCTCTTGGAAACATTGCGTTTGCGTACTCTTACTCGATGATTCTCATCGAAATTCAGGTATTTTTGATGCATGTATGTATGATAAGAGTTTGTTTAAAGGATGTTTTAATTTACTGACGAGTTGATGATGCAGGACACGGTAAAATCACCGCCAGCAGAAGTAAACACTATGAGAAAAGCGACTTTTGTAAGTGTGGCAGTGACAACACTCTTCTACATGCTCTGTGGCTGTGTAGGGTATGCAGCATTTGGAGATACCGCACCCGGGAATCTCCTCGCTAATGGAGGGTTCAGAAACCCATTTTGGTTGCTTGACATAGCCAATCTCGCTATAGTGATCCATCTAGTCGGAGCTTACCAAGTCTATTGCCAACCCCTCTTTGCATTTGTCGAGAAGGAAGCCGCTAGGAGGTTTCCAGAGAGCAAATTTGTCACAAATGAGATCAAGATCCAACTCTTTCCGGGGAAACCCTTCAACTTGAATCTCTTCAGGCTCGTATGGAGGACAATCTTCGTGATGACAACAACGTTGATCTCAATGTTAATGCCTTTCTTTAACGATGTTCTCGGTCTTTTGGGGGCCATCGGGTTTTGGCCTTTAACGGTTTATTTCCCGGTGGAAATGTACATTGTACAGAAGAATGTTCCGAGATGGGGCACAAAGTGGGTTTGTCTACAAGTCTTAAGTCTGGCCTGTCTTTTTGTATCCGTTGCCGCGGCTGCAGGATCTGTAGTTGGCATTGTTAGTGATCTCAAGATCTACAAACCTTTCCAGTCAGATTTCTAAGATCATACGGAAAATCAAACTCCTACAAAAAGGGTTAAGATTAGAATTGAATGTTGTAATGTTATCTTTGTATTAGTGAAATTAACTTTGTGTAAGTGCTCAATATTAAAAAAAATGGTCTGCGGTCGGAAAATATTTTTGGACACTTAAAGGTAGTAGACATATATTTAAACATTTAATACTTAAAATTATTTTAGAAGTCTATAAACCAAAGGATCTACAAGATGTTTTGTGTTTGTGTTTATACCATTAGAAGAGAAAGATCTCCAAAATTCTTCCAATTCTTAAACCGTTTATCTTCTTGTAATTGTTAATATAGATTCCAAGTTGTTGTCAAGTTAATAAACACTCCACAAAACTAGAATCACCTAGATAAAATTGAGCTAACAATACCTAATGGAGCCATATAAATAAGATAATCAATGTTTACCTTGACAAAACGAAAATTAAAATCTAAAAACTGCAAATCCAGAATAATATATAGATAATTGACTTTATAAAGAAGCAAAATGGTTACAAACTTATACTCCCTTCGTTTCATAAAGAGTGTCGTTTTAAGGTTTTATTTTTGTTTCACAAAGAGTGTCGTTTTAGATTTTCAATGCAAAATTTAATAATTTTTTATGTTTTATGACTATTAGTATTCTGCATATTGTTTTACTATTGGGCAGATTATGTTTAGGTATATAGTTAATGATGTTTTTTTTTAGAAAAAACAAAAAATTTAATGTTTTCTTAATCTGTATGCAAAACTCTAAAATGACACTCTTTGTGAAACAGAAGAAGTAATAGCTATTTTTCTTGGTTTATTTGAATCAACAAATTGTTTTCCATAACTAACATTTCAACGTTATGTTTCTCATAAAACTAATAACACTGTAGTCAGAAAGGAGTCACATCCACCATCTCTAAGCCTATATAATATTCGCTTAGCTATAACTAATTACCAATGATATGGCATTTAAAATATTTTGATCTTTTGCAAAGTAATCGGTAAATTCTCAGTTAGTTCCAAAATAAATAACATTAATTGCATTTAAAAACATACAATCAAAGAATCAATTACGAGAAAGCCATTTTCTGGAGTGGTCTTTGTTGAATTTGACCTTTTTTCAACAGTTTATGAGTTTGCCATTATCAGCTGTTCCAAAAGACGAAATTGCCCACAGAATTCTGGGTTTTTATCAAAAAAAAAAAAACAGCTTGTGAAGAATAAAAACCAAAGTTTCGCTTTTCTTCCCTTCCTCGCCGTCACAAAATCTGATCTTCTTCTCTGTTATTCTGCTTTCTTGGACCTAATCGAACAGTGAAGTTTAATTAGATGGGCTTGAGCTCTGAAGATCGTTTGTAGAACACCTCTGTTGGTGTCGGATCTCGCACCAGAAGTCCGAGACCAACCAAAGATTGCCACGTAGTCAAGATGATGGCCCATAAAGGATGAAGCCCATAGGACCCATAAGTCGAAGGAACGGTCTAAGTGGTTGTCACCACTTTGAGAGTTCGAAGTGGCTGCATTGTGACACGAGCTCGGTGTGAAAGATGCGGGCAAGTCGGTTCAGGGACATTTGGGCCAGAAAGGCGAGGCCCATGAAGATCAGAGTCAACTCAAATTCAAACGTTGAGCATTAAAGTCGAAGAATCAAAACGGACACATTTAAGAGGGAATAATTGTACTTAATTATTCATTTTAATGTCAATTCTCTATGTATAAATATGAAGGCCAATGGCCATGTAAAGGGGATCTCCCTCTGAAGAAAGAAATATTATAGCAATTTTCGTAGCAATTTACAAGCTTTTGCATATTCATTTTGTCCCTCAAGAATAATCTTTCCTACTTAATAAAATACTTGAGTGTGTGAATCCGACATCCACATTTTGGCGCCGCCTGTGGGGAGAGTTAGGATTCTTGAGTGGTCAGATTTTTCCTTTATCACACTTCCGAGATAAGCAACAATGTCCGGAGGAGACACCGTTGAGACATCATTGGCTGAAACCCTCAAAGCTATGCAGCAAACCATGTCGGACATATCACAAAAGTTCTCGGATGTGGAAAAAGCCGTCGATACGTTGCAAACATCCCAGGTATCTCTTAGTCAAAACGTCAATACTATACAAACTCGTGTTCGCTCTTTAAGTGCAGGAAACCTTGTGGGAATCCGAAGAGGGATATTCAACTCGCCAAGTTCCGCTGCACGAAATGAAACCAGCGGACAAACAACTCCTGATGCTACTAATAACGTGGCTCAGACGTTGGAAGAAGAGACACAGCTCGGAGATGAAGAACAACTTGCAGCTCAGTACGAGCAGGAGAACCTCGACCAGTTTGAGACCATGAGGAAGGTTAGCCAGGAATTAAAAGAAATGAAATCAAAATTTCATCAAGCTACAAGTTCGGAGCCAGACATCAATCGAGTCATTGAAGAGGCTAGGCGAACACCTTTCATCTCGCGAATTGCAAGTTTGAGGATCAAAGATTCCCGGAAACTCAAGTTGGACCCTTACAACGGATTGGAGGATCCAAAAAGCTATCTCGCAGCTTTTCTGATCGCTGCTGGAAGAGTCGAGTTGGATGAAGCTGATGAGGACGCAGGCTACTGCAAGCTTTTTTCGGAGAATCTATGTGGCCAAGCTCTAATGTGGTTCACCCAATTAGAGCCGGGTTCGATCAGCAATTTCGACAAACTATCAGCCGTATTCTTAAAGCAATACTCCATCCTTATGGATAAAAGCGTTTCGGATGCCGATCTTTGGAACTTATCGCAAGGATCTAATGAGTCGCTTCGAGTTTTTATCACCAAATTCAAAGGAGTGCTGTCAAAGCTCCCAAGAATCTCGCAGCAATCAGCTTTATCTGCCCTACGAAAAGAATTGCGACATGATTCAAGGTTTAAAGAAGACTTAATACTTCATAAACCAGACACAATTCATGATGCACTCTTCTGCGCGAACAACTGGATGGAGGTAGAGGACGAAAAAGAAAGTTTTGCCAAAAGGAACAAACAAGAAAAGCCGGCAATCACCGTCCCTACCAAGAAGTTCGAGCCTAGGGAGAACAAAGGACCAAGGAAATTTGGGTCGCAACCCTTCAACAGTACCGTCGGAAAGCAATTCCAAGGGAAAGGAAGATCAAACACTTGGGTCCGTGATGAAAGTCTATATTGCGACATTCATAAAGTAACCGGACATTTAACCAAGGATTGCAGCGTTCTTAAAAGGCACCTCGCAGAGCTTTGGGCCAGTGGAGATCTTTCCAAATTCAATATAAAAGATTTTGTGAAGGAATACCACGAAGCGAAAGAAAACTCCAAAGATCAAGATTCCAAAAGACCAAGGTTATCCAACGAGGAAGAACCAAGGAGTTCGAAGGGTAAGATCAATGTGATTCTAGGAGGTTCCAGATTTTGTGGAGATTCGATAAGTTCCATCAAGAAACATAGACGAAATATCCTACTCAAAGCAAGCTTAAGCGAGGAAGTCGATTTTCAAGGTGCATCAATATCATTTAATGAAGAAGAAACGCGGTACCTCGAAAGACCTCATGATGATGCTCTAGTCATTACCCTCGACGTTGCCAACTTCGAAGTATCAAGGATCCTTATAGATACAGGCAGTTCGGTCGACTTGATCTTTTTAAGTACTCTAAAAAGAATGGGATCAGCCGAGGAGACATAGTAGGCCCCCATCTCCGTTAGTTGCGTTCACAAGCGAGTCAGCCATGTCTCTCGGAACAATCAAGCTACCGGTCCTTGCCAAGAAGGTATCGAAGATCGTGGACTTCGTTGTCTTCGATAAACCCGCAGCTTACAACATCATCCTT